CCAGGAGTTTGAGGTTGCTGTGAGCTAAGCTGATGCCACAGCACTCTAGCCCAGGCAATAGAGTAAGACTCTGTCTCAAAAAAATAAATAAATAAAAATTTAAAAAAATAGGATAGAGGCATAATCATCATCTTTATGACCCCCAAACCACAGACCTAATTTTTCCCAAACCCAGCTAATGAGATACAACTAGAAAATGCAAGGGATCCAGAAGAGTGACCTGAACTTGCACTGTAGAGAACAATGTTCTCACTGTAGAGACCACTGTAGAGAACAATGTTCTCACATACTAGTTAATTCTAACAACCCTTCAGGATTCATCTATTTGCAGATGAAATGAGTTTTAAGTCCCAGAGGCCTCACAAAAAATAATGGTTGACTCAGAACCTAAACCCAAGACCCTTCACACGGTAAGGGCAGCGGGTACACTGAGGCTCGTGTGTAGTTCAGAGTATCTGTTAAATGAATGAATGGCAAAGGAACACAAAATCATTCTGCATTACTGATTTTCATAAAACTGCTTTCATAACAAAAAACCCTACTTAAAGTGACATCCAGTACCTTCAGATGGCCCAAATATAAGTATAAATGTTTTTTGGGGTTGTTTGTTTGTTTTTTTGAGACAGAGTCTTACTCTTTCACCCTGGATAGAGTACAGTGGCATCACTGTAGCACCCTGCAACCTCAAACTTCTGGACTTAAGCGATTCTCTTACGTGGGCCTCCTGAGTAGTTGGGTCTACAAGCTCACACTACCATGCCCGGCTAATTTTTCTATTTTTATTAATGATAGAGATAAGGTCTTACTCTTGCTCAGGCTAGTCTTGAAATCCTGAGCTCAAGTGATCCTCCCCCGCCTCTGCCTCCCAGAGTGCTAGGATTGCAGGCATGAGCCACTGAGCCCAGGCCCAGTATACTCTTAAACAAGTGCTTTCAAGAAGGAATTCCACAAAGCACAACACAATTAAGATTTCAGGAGAAGAGTCTGGGAGAAGTAATTTTATATATGCTTAGAGTTAACAAATAACTAACACAGCACAAGAGAGTCTTGTTGTCTTTTTAACAATATTTTTGATGAAGTTATGCAGTCTTTCAAAATTTACTATTTACTAAAATAAAACTTTTCCTGAATTTCATTCTATGAAGTGGCTTGCTAAGTAATGGTTTGAGATGGATTTTTATTTATTTTTCTGAGGGGAAGGGGAATGTAAGGAAGGTTGGCAGGATTGCAGGTAAAGAAGATTAAAATACTGACCACAAAAAACAAACAGGCAGTTTTTGTAGAATTTAATGGTCAGCAACTAAATGTCCTAGTTGTGAAGTAATTGGCTCCTGTGGAAGACAAATGATAAAAGGAAGTTTCGAAGAGAACAGTCAGCGAGGGCTAATACTCTGAGAATACTGCAACAGTTGAGTGTGCTAAGAAGAATATATATGTATTCTGTACACGCAAAGGCTGAAACATGAGCTACTTTATTAACTCTGAAACATCTAAAGATGGTGCCAGGTTTTCCTTTTTAGAGCTAGGCAGGAAACATTTAAAATCACAAAAATAAGCCTTAGTAAGACTCTGCCAAAGGTATGCTTAGTGAAAAGTAATTATGTCAGCTGATGGAAGGTTTAAAAGGCTTTACGCTAGCAAGTAATCATGAGCACATAAAAAATTCTAGATGGTCTGGTTTTCATAAAAACCAGGAGATACTGTCAAGAAAAAAAGAGAGAGAACAGTGTATATATGGTATCTTTCAGGGGGGAAAGAAGAGAAATAAGAAAAATATTCATATTTACTTGTATTTGCAAAAAGAAATGCAGGAAGAAAACATAAGAAACTTAACATGGTGGTTTACCTGTAAGATGTAAGAGGGAGGCCAGGTGGTGGCTCACGCCTGTAATCCTAGCTCTCTGGGAGCCCAAGGTGGGCGGATTGCTCGAGGTCAGGAGTTCCAAACCAGCCTGAGCAAGAGTGAGACCCCCATCTCTACTATAAATAGAAAGAAATTAATTGGCTAACTAATATATATAGAAAAAATTAGCCAGGCATGGTGGCGCATGCCTGTAGTCCCAGCTACTCGGGAGGCTGAGGCAGGAGGATCACTTGAGCCCAGGAGTTTGAGGTTGCTGTAAGCTAGGCTGACGCCACGGCACTCACTCTAGCCTGGGCAAGAAAGCGAAGACTCTGTCTCAAAAAATAAAAAATAAAAAAAAAAAAAGAACATAATGAGCATCTCTGAAAGTATAAATCAGCAGAGTACACACTACATTGTATTTCCAGCAGCATGACAATACCGAACATTTGCTTAAAGTTTTATAGTTTACAATTAGTAGGATGCCCTTATCCTGATTTCACAGATGATAAAATGTAGGTTCTAAGAGATTGTGTTTTACCCCAGGATAGAAAGAGTAAGTTATTAAACTCTCTCTCTCTCTCTCTCTTTTTTTTCACCCCAACCTACTTCAGAGGTAATAACCAAACTCTCAAGTTGAGAATGCCCCTCACAGGCTCTGCTCCAGAATGATACTGTTCATATTTCTGTATTTCTTTAAATGTGTATTGGCTCCATTTTGCAGGCATCACTTCCATCTCACCAAAAGCACTGGGGTTCCTGACCCCAAAGTACAAACAGTTCCATCTAGAAGGAATCAAATACTTATGGTACACCTCCCTCTGGCGTTAGGGAATCTGAGTCACGGTTTACCACTGAAGAACAGGGCACTTATCATAACTGGCCTTGAAGTATGCAGCTATTAGGTGAACACAGCCCACCTTCCTGACCAGACAGACAAAGCAGGTACATACATTCCTAAGTCTAACAGCATCTTACGCTATGTCTGCTGCACAGTAGTAGTGCTCAATACAAACTTGTGGACTGAAAATTAAACTGAAGAGTTAGCAGGCCTTCTATACCCTTTCTAATTCAATGTTGTGAAGATCTCAGTTTAATTATGTCCCCCAAAAAGCATGTGTTGGAAACTTAATCCCCAATGCAACAGTGTTGGGAGGAGGGGCCTAATGAACGGTGATTAAGCCATGAAGGATCTGCCCTCATGAATGGATTAATGCCATTATAGGGGAGTGTTCAGTCTTCCCCCCCTTCCCCCTCTTCCTCCCCTTCTCACCTTTCCCTATGGGATGAGGAAGCAAGAAGGCCATCACCTGATGCTAATGCCTTAATCTTGAACTTCTCAGCTTCCAGAAACATGAGCCAATAAACTTCTGTTCATTATGAAGTATGAAGTTTCAGGTATTCTGTTATATGCAGCACAAAATGGACTAACATATAGAATAAGATTGAACCCTTCATTTTAAAAGTGTGAAAAGAGGCTCAGGGATAAAGAGAACTGCCTTGGACACACTGGCAGAGAGAAGCACCATGGTGTGTGTTGGCAGGCTAAACATGTAGGCTTGCAGTCAAACCAAGGCCAAGTCTGAAGTCTACTGCACTACTTAGCAGTTGTGTGATCCTGGACAAGTTGCTTAACTTCTCTCTGGTACTTAGTTTCCTCATCTATGAAGCAAAGTGCCTGCTGCAGTGGCACGTGCCTGTCGTCTCAGCTACTTGGGAAGCTAAGGCAGGAAGATAGCTTGAGCTCAGGAGTTTAAGACAAGCCTGAGCAACATGGTAAGACCTTGTTTCTACCAAAAAAAAAAAAATTAGCCAGGCATGGTGGCATGCACCTGTAGTCCTAGGTACTCAGGTGGCTGAGGCAGGAGCATCACTTGAGGCCAAGAGTTCAAGACTGCAGTAAGCTATGATGACCCCACTGCACTCCAGCCTGGGTGACAGAGCAAGACCCTGTCTCAAAAAAGAAAAAGAAAAAGAAAAAAAAAAGCTGGGGTATAAGTAATGGCAACCATTGAGGGATATTATATGAATCAAAAATTGAGCAGAGTAAGTATGACAGACAGTGGACACACATTAATAAGTGGCTAAGATTACTGGACAAACCTTAGACCCAGACATCCTGGCTTCCAACCTATGTACTTTCCACAGTGCCAAATTGCTTTTTGCTAACATGACTTTTATTGTCATTGACAAATAAACGAAAATTTCTGATCCCTGTCAAAACTATAATTGGTTTCGAAAATATATTGTTTCATATATACATATATATATAATTTGTTTCTAATTATCACCACCACTTCCCTACATTAACATCCAAATAATTTCTAAAGTCTTTAAAAATTCCAAATGATATTTGAAACATAAAATCATTAAAGTCTTAATAGCCACAAAGGGGGGGGGGAGGATGGCCAAAAATAAGCTGGGTATGGTAGCACACATTTGTTTTCCCAGGTACTCAGGAGGCTGAGGCAGAAGGATCACTTGGGCACAGGAATTCGAGTCTGCAGTTAATTATGATCATGCCACTATACTTAAGCCTGGACAGCAGAGCAAGATCCCATTTCTTTGAAGAAAAATGGCCAAACCCAAATTTAGACAAAGGAAAAATGGCCAAACCCAAATTTAGACAAAGGAATTATGATTCAAACTGTACGTATTATTAGTTTTCCCTTATATGGCACCAAAATGGTGCCAGTTCACTAGACAGGCCACTACTAAGGTACGAGAAGAGAATCCAAACTTTGGCAGTCCCCACAGTTAGGCCATGGAGAGAACTGACAGATCCTATGCAAAGTTCAAATGCAACTGAAGTATAGCCAAAAGATAATTATCACTATTTTCATTGAATCAACAATCATTCAGTCATCAAATATTTACTGAGCACCGAACTATGAAGCTACTACAGGCCAGGCATTGTTTAGCAATGTAGATGCCTGGGAGACATCAATGAACGAAATAAAGATTTTTTATATTCTAGCAGAGGGACCAGGCAATATACAATAAGTGAGCCAATCCCATAGTATGCTAGAAGGTAACAGGGCTATGGGTAGGAAATGGGAGTCCAGAGGAGTGGGGAGGAGAGTCACATCATTAAGTAGGAAGTGCAGAGGAAGGCTCTTGGAGAAAGTGACAGCTGAGGAACACCTCACAGACTCACAGGTGGTGGGGGCGTTAGGCCAAGTGGACATATATCCAGAAAGGTGTTCCAGGCAGAGAGACAGTTAGAACCAAGGAGAACTGGCTGTTGTTTGGACGTGGGGGAGGGGAATAAAGCTAAGTCTATTAATCATCTTAAGCACTGAGATATTTCATTTACATTTTGATAAATAAGCAAAGATACAAACAGGCTAAGAAAAAAAGGGGTAAGCATCCTGTTTAATTTTACATGGAAAACTAATGCCAGATGTAGGATTAGAAGCCATAGCTCCTATTGACCCTGGTCTGAACCACTGACACCCACCGCCTCAGTAAAAGCTAGGGTCAACCCTCTAGCTACGTCCACCGTGCCAGGCTCTCAGCAGCACCTGGCACAGCCACTCTGTCCTCTGGAGGCACTGTCCTCTTCTGGCTTTCAGACACAAGTTTCTGGTTTTCCTCCTATCTCTCTAGCTACTCCTGTGAATCTCCTTTGCTGTCCCCCTTCTTCTAACCAACCTCTAAGCATTGAGGTACCCCAGGACTCTGAGCTGCTTATCTTCTCTAGCTATATTGTTGCCCTAAACAATCGAATCCCGGCCCTCTGCGGCTTTAAATCCCCACCTCTAACAGTATTATATTTTAGAGTCCTAGTTGTAGTTTAGAGTTACCTGGACAGCTTTAAAACAAACTGTGATTAGACCACAGCCCAGACCAACAGGACCTGAATCTCTGGGAGTGATGCCTGGGCATCAGGATTTTTAAAGGTGCTTCAAATGTGCACTCAGAGTTGAGAACCACTAGTTTATATACACTAATGGACCACAAATTTCTATCTCCAGCCCCAAACTCTTCCCTGAGCCCAAACCTGTACATCCAAATGCTGATAAAACATCTTTTTGATTGTTCAAAGTCCATTTAAATCTAACTTATTCAAAAGATAAGTCTTTTTTTTTTCTTTTTGAGATAGTCTTGCTCTGTCTCCCTGGGTAGAGTACAGTGGCATCATCGTAGCTCACTACAACCTCAAACTCCTGCGCTTAAGCAATCCTCCTGCCTCCTGCCTCAGCCTCCCAAGTAGCTGGGACTACAGACATGCACCCAGCTAATTTTTCTATTTTTAGTAGAGACCTCACTCTTACTCAGGCTGGTCTTCAACTCTTGAGCTCAACCAATCCTCCTGCCTTGGCCTCCCAGAGTGTTAGGATTACAGGTGTGAGCCATCACACCTGGCCCAAAACATAATTCTTATTCCCCTGTCTTTTCTCTCTGCTTCTACTCTTAAACTTTTATAATTCATTTTCTTTCTTTTTTTTTTTTTTTTGAGACAGAGTCTCGCTTTGTTGCCCAGGCTAGGGTGAGTGCCATGGCGTCAGCCTAGCTCACAGCAACCTCAATCTCCTGGGCTCAAGCAATCCTCCTGCCTCAGCCTCCTGAGTAGCTGGGACTACAGGCATGCGCCACCATGCCCAGCTAATTTTTTCTATATATATTAGTTGGCCAATTATTTTCTTTCTATTTATAGTAGAGACGGGGTCTTGCTCTTGCTCAGGCTGGTTTTGAACTCCTGACCTCAAGCAATCCGCCCGCCTCGGCCTCCCAGAGAGCTAGGATTACAGGCGTGAGCCACCACACCCAGCCTATAATTCATTTTCCATGAAAATGTATTTCAATCTCATATCCCTGCTTAATTCCCACCAGTGGCTTCTCACAGTCCCTAGATAAATCTGGAATCTTAATTTATCAAGATTCAAGCCTGCAGGGAACTTCCTAGGTTGACCCCCAGCCCAGCCTCCCCCTGCTTATCATGTCCCAAACACACCAGCCTCCCCTCCCACCTCAAACACACCCAGCTCCTTCCTGTCTCCCACCTCAAACATACCCAGCCCCTTCCTGCCTCTCAGTCTTTGTACCTGCTGTTCTCTCTGCCTAGAATAAACTTATTCCAGCCACTCTGAATGTGTCAGTCCTTACCAGTTAGGTTGCAGGTCAAATTTCACCTCCAAAATCTGAAATTAACTTCTCTGCCCATCCTATTATAGTAGCCCCCACACCCAACTCTCTCAAACAAATCACTCTGGGCTCTTGTGTTTTCTTTTGCTTCAAAGCACTTATCACCACTATCAGAGCACAGACTCTAGAGCTAGACTGCCTGAGTTCAAATTCCAGCTCAGCCACTTACAGACTCTATAACCTTGGGAAGATTTAACTTCTCTGGTCACAGCTTCCACATTTGAAATGAGGTTAATATTGGTACCTGTCTCATATAGTTAATGCAGTGCCTGACTCATAGGAAGCACTTGAGTACTAGCAATTAGGATTACCATCAGAAATTCCCTATTTCCCCTTCTAGAAATGCAACCCCCAAGAGGGCAAGAAACTTGTTTATTTCATTCACTAGCATATTCACAGGGCTATCATATTACAGGTCCTCAATTAATATAATATATAATATTAGTATATATTAGAGAACAAATACACATCCAGGTCTAGCATTTGGGACTAACAATGCTAACCTAAGTTTGGATTCCAGAGGCTTCTCATCATAAGAAAAACCATCACTTTGCTCCATTAAATCATAACTGACGTATGACTGAGGAGACTCTGGGGATATAGCAGCAAACTAAAAGACTCCAAATTTCAGTTCACCACACACAAGGAAATTCCAGACTGAAACGGACAATAGGTATATCAAATTGGGTTGTCTCTGAGTTAACCAGGTTTTATGTTTCTAAGAATTACGTCAATTCCCAAATTTGATATTCAAAGAAAAAGAGGCTAAATCTGCCTCTAGCTGACTAGATTTGGAGACTCAAGCACTTAATAACTCCCAGAGGCAGGACAATAAGAAAAGCAAGAAAAAGAGACTTCTAGACTTCCCAGAAGTTATAACTAAGTTATAACTAAGCATGCATGGCACCACAGAGAAGCCCATAAAGACTGTAGGAAGACCCAGCTAAGTCAGGAAGCATAGGTCAACCAGACATGTTAGAAAATTCTATTTAGATTTGAGAAGGAAGAAAAAAGCCACTATATGATCTAATTAAACACATTAAGAGGGACTAACAACATTAGCCTAAGATGAGAATGTTTCCCTGAAAAAAATACAGAGCAATATCATAGTTTAATAATTATAAAATAATAAGATGGCTGGGCACAGTGGCTGTAACCCTAGCACTTTGGGAGGCCAAAATGGGAGGATCACTTGAGCCCTGGAGTTCAAGAGTAGCCTGGGCAAACAGCGAGATCCTGTCTCTACAAAAACATTTTTTTTTTAATTAGCTGGGTGTGGTGGCATGCGCCTGTAGTCCCAGCTACTAAGGAGACTGAGGTAGAGGAATCGCTTGAGTACAGGAGTTCAAGGTTACAGTGAGCTATGATTTTGCCACTGCACTCAGCCTGGAAGACAGAGGGAGAGGCCATCTCTAAGAAAACCAAAATAGTAAGATGGGAAAGTATTTGATCATAAAAATGATCTTATGAATAATATGTAGGACATGGCCTATAATTTGTTAAAATAGCATATACAAAATTGTATTACAGCCATATAACAAGGTGAGCAAATAGTGATAGAGGCCAATATCTTCTAAGCAGCAACTTCTGTCAACCTCCCCTTCACCCTGCAACCCCTAGTATCTGCTGGCTAAAATAATAATATGCTGCCTGCTTGGCTATTTCTGGGTGGTCCTGGCAGCTCTGTTCTCTACCTATAATCTGACTAAAATCAATCTCCTATGGGATGTCCAGAAGATGGTAGGAAAATATGTGAGTGGACAACCCTGAGGTCCTACAACTGCTGAAAGGCATGACATGTGATGGGATAGAGGGCTTTGTAGTGACCCAGGTTCAAACCCTAACTCAGATACTCTTGGGTAAGGTCACTATTTGTACCTTGGTTTTTTCATCAGTAGAAGGGGAAAGATAATATCTACCTATAAGATTTTTGAAGATGGAACACGATATTATCAATATGATGTCTGTTGTTGTTATTGTATTAGCAATCAAGTTCTGTTCACTGGCCAGCGTGATCACAACAGCTGGCACCTGAAACTCCTTCCTTGACCATGTTGCCCTATCCATCTAGTCAGCTCTACATTTTAACAGAGGAATAACAAAGGAAGTCCCTGAAGTTACTGGGTAAACAGTGACCATTTCTAACATGTCTATTAAACAGAAAACTTTAGTTAACTGAATATTCTAAAATTACTAGTTGTCAAATACCTAGAATATAGTAAAACATACTTAACACCAAAAAACATGAGCAAATTAACCTCTGGTGTTTAAAATTCCCTGGAATTACTTTATTTGCCTAAATTAATGTCAATAGTTCTTAAATATAAAACTCATTTTTATTAGGTCATTAAATGTCCAACTTTATTTTGCCCTGAAAAAAAAAAAAAAATTCAAAGAGCACCTTTTGCCCTGAAAAAAAAAAAATAAAAAAAATAAATGTCCAACTTCAAATCAAAGTGTAGTTTATTATAGTGTGTTTATTATATCTCAAACAAGAAGCAGTACAATTAAACAAAGTATGTACCTAAACTATCGACATAGTTTTGCCATCTTAACAGCAGCTTGTTTATGCCGGCAACAAAGAAGCTGGAAGAGCAAGTGGCGATGAAATTGCAAACATTTTCCACAGCTTGTTGAGAATTGAATATTTTTCCTTGCAAGAAGTGGTCCAAAACCTGGAAGAAGTGGTAGTCAGTTGGTGCAAGGTCTGGTGAATATGGTGGATAACAAAGAGTTTCCAAGTCTAGCTTCTATAGTTTGAGCAGCATGGTTTGTGCAACATATGGTCGAACATTAATCTAGCAAGAGGACTGGCCTGTCTCTATTGACCAATCTCGGCTGCTTAATCACAAGCATCCTAATCATTTCATCCAACTGGTTTCAGTAGACATCCACTGTAATCAACTGACCAGGTTTCATGAAACTGTAGTGGATAATACCAGTGCTGGACCACCAAACAGACACCATTAGCTTTTTTTGAAGAATATTCAGTTTTGGACTGTGTTTTTTTTTTGTTTTGTTTTGTTTTTTTTTTTTTTGTTTTTTTTTGAGACAGAGTCTCGCTTTGTTGCCCAGGCTAGAGTGAGTGCCGTGGCGTCA